GTGCTTGCCAGGCAGGCTCTTGTGCCGCTGAGCTATATCCCCAGTCCTGGTGGAAAAATTTTACAACAACAGCACTGATATTCTAACACTATTCATCAAATGTTCTATAGCCTTTGGAAAGCACTTCACATTTATGAAGAGGATAAGCATGAAAAGTATTGCTCATGGAATAATGTTTAGTGTAGTTTTTGCCTAGGAAACCCCCTTGAGAACCATTCCCTGCTCCGTCACACTGGAGGGACCTCTTGTTAGAATACTGCTGATGTGACTTACAAGTAGACAACAGAAACTCAGCTCCTATTTAATTAAATGAGCTTTTCTTTCTATGAAAAGCCCACAAAACCATTATTTTTGCATCAGTCAGCCTCCAAGGCACTGATGACGCAGTGGTGATGGTCTAGCTTTATAGCAGAGCTATTGTTTCTGCACTTACGTTTCCTAAGAAGCCTTGGGTACCTACTTTATGGAAACTGTTACAGACAGCTATGTTAGGTCAAAATATTATAGGCGGTCTGATAGGGCTAGACCCTCAAGGGAGTCAGTGCAGAAAATGAGAACACAGTACAACTGTGGCTGGAGGCACATCTGTCAAAGGCCACGCCTCAAGATAAAGATGGAGTGACCAGGTCTACATGCCTCCCCAAGGGATAAGCAGTAAATTGAAGATTATATTCTAATTGGGATCTGTCCTCTACGGGGGAGGGGCCCAAGGGAGATTTTTGTGGGTGAGGTCTCAAGGTTAAAGAATGCGCTTGTGCAAAACGTCAGCAAAAACAGCAGGCAGCATGGAGCAGAGCAGAGCACAAGAGTGCAACAGCAAGAGCTGCCTGCATCTTTATTGTATAATTCTTATACAGGTTGTTATGTCGTATTTACATTCTTACATAGCGCCGTAACCAGTGCATGCATGTTTACATGTGCTAAGTCGTGGTTACATAACTGCACCCCACTATGTGCCTGTGCTAGAAAAGCAGGGTCACATCCTCAGGTGTCTTTAGCTGCCCCTGAGCTTTGAAGCAGTCTCAGTGGTTCCGAATAGTATCGCCTGGCCCAGTAAAGTCTAGATAGACATTAGTCACCCAGGTAGGTGACCAAGACCTTCTGATCCGTCCCTTCCTAAAAAGGTTCTTATTCTTTCCATGTACACTTCCTACACGACCTGCTTGCCCTTTGGATCAGTATTACCTGTGGTGCGCACCTTGGAACACCCAGCTGAACTGAATCAGCACCGTGCTGGGTGTGGAAGACCTACCTGAGGATTATTGCCAACAGCACAAAAGGAGAATTTGTGAGGAGGTTGGTGTGAGCTGTTGATTCTCCTGGAGAAGCTTGTCACACTGTTTTCCTGATATGAATTTAGCTGTTCTCATTGTCAGAGGTGCTTGGGTCCTCACTGTCACTGAGGATGGCTGTGGTTCTCTTCAGGGGAGCTCTGGTCCTCACCTGAGCCTTGTTTCCTGGCTCCAGCATAGATCCCTTAGCCTGGTGGCAACGATCCTCACCCTACTGGTACAGACTTTCTAGATTCCACCAAAAACCTTTGGGCCTCCCCAGTGCAGATCCTTGTTACAGACTTGCATGAAACATTGTCATGGGCTCTAGGCCTTCAGCCAGAGTTGTGGAGGACATTACCTTGGGCTCTAGGTCTTCAGCTGGATTCATGCAGGACATTACTATAGGATTCAGGCCCTCAGCTGGGTTCTTTGGCTCTCTAGTGCATGGACAGATCTCTTGCACTCTTCTGCATTTGCTTTTTGGGTGAATATTATAAAATTATCCTATAACTTGTGTCCTGTATTAAATCTATTCACTTGTGAACCCTGACTACAACTTTACCTAAGAGGTTATACTTGTAATCTCATTGGTTGATCATAATTTTGACCCACAGTGTACCCACTTACTGAGTTTGCTCTATAAAACTTCCTCTGTGGCCAGGTATGGTGGCGCATGCCTATAATCCCAGCATTCCGGAAGCTGAGGCAGGAGGATCATTGTGAGTTCAAGACCAGCCTGGGCTACAAAGTGAGCTCAAGGCCAGTCTGAACTGCATAGCGAGACCCTGTCTCAAAAAGACAAAAAACAAAACAAAACAAAACAAAAAAACTTCCTCTGTGAAGTGGCGTCTGTGACA